ACATAATCTTTTATTGCAGCTATATAAACTTGCGATATGGGAAAAAATATCAAACTTCTGTTACTTTTGTCAGTTGAAGGGAAAACGTGTAAAGAAATAAGTTATGATTTTTTAACAAAATTTACAATTCCACAAACCCTTAAAAATTCTAAAAAAAAAAAAAAAAAAGAAAATACCTGAAAAATTTTTTTTTTAACATGTAATTAATTTCCAAAGTTAAACAGAGTGTCTAGGTACTTCTAATTAGTAAGCCAAACCTTCCTGTTTCCCTGGTGAATAAAAATGAGGTGACAAAAAGTCCCAAGGTGACAGCTTAGGCCAGAATTTCTCTACAATAGGTGAAAATGGGATGTGGTTCAGAGGTAAATTTCTCCCCGCTGCTGTTCAAAATTAATAAGACGAGAGAATGTTCCATTTAAAGCAAGTTGTTCTTTGTGAGTCATTTGCTATAAGAAATCACCACCAAGCTTGTGCACATACGGAGCAATAATTACAAAGTTTAAAACCAAATGTATCTTTCCATCATCTAGAGAGAGGAAAACGATGATGGGTGTTTTAAAATTTTCGTAGTCCACTTTTAGAGAACAGCAGCAGATTTTTTTTACCCAGAGTAATAACACAGCAATGTAAGAGGAGCTTATTTTAGGATTTTTTCGCACATCTTTAACACGGATGCTGATAAATGCGGCGGGGGCTGTATGTAAATACACGCAGCCAAAGGCAAAAAATTGTCTTAGGAAAAGTCTCAGTTAGAATTTATGATGCTGCTAAAACATTTTTGTAGAATCAGTGGTCAAACTGTTTACTGCTGTAGCCCATTCAGCTAACCTAGAATACAGGAAGGCATCTTAAATACACCAACTATAACCACCGGGGCTGTCATTGGGGCTAAATGACAAAACAAATATAGAAATAAACTCATGAAATTTGCGTTAAAACACCAGGAATATCACTGTGATATAAGTTTTTGCACTTGTCACAAAAAACTTCATTCTGATCATGTATGGGTGTAAAATAACATCTTCCACATGGTAAAATCTGCTTATTACCGAGCTGCGTTTTGTGAAACAGCCCAATGTGCATCCAAATGGCACAAAAAGCTCCACAGTGTTTCACATGTTGCGTGCGTCCCGCCATAATGTGGGGAAAAGCAGATAAATCAGGGAAGGCAGTAATGTTTTTCATGTGTTGTGCTGCCTGGTCACAGCTCTGGCTCCTCTATTTGTTATTCATGAAGGAAGCCGGGTGAAGAGGCCTTCTTATGATGCACATTTTTTCTCGCTGCCCCCACCCAGCCGCCCCTGCTTCAACCCTCTCAACCGGGGAGCCGCTCGACAACTACAACTATAATCTGTTAGCGAATGCTGCAATTAATCCAGCGTAATGAGCATGACACCGTCAGCTAATTGACATTATTGTTTCTTTACGATCAACCTCGGATCATGTGTGCGGAGACTCCCTCTGTCGCCCTCCCGCCCCTCACCCCTCCTCCTCCTCCACCTCTTCCTCCTCTTCTTGCGCCCTCTGTTCAGGCTTCAATATGCAGATCAGACATTTCTGTCCCCGGGGCTATTTTCTTTGGTGGACTTTTGAAAAATGTAAATGCTTCCAAAAAATTCCGAAAGAGAAAAGTAAAAGCTTTCGTCTGGCAACCAGGAGTTTTTTTTCTTCTTCTTCTTTTTCTTTTCCATTCAGAGAAACAGATGATTTTCTTTATTCTTTGCTGGTGTTTTTGTTTGGTTTGCTTCATCAGTCAAGAGCCAAGCTCATTTAAATGAGAGAGGAGGACGGCCAAAGCAAATGCGACAAGAAATATATTCCCTACAAAGACAACGCTGCAATTTTTAAAATTGTTTTCTAACGTTCTTTTCTTTACAAATTCCCCCCTGTACATAGGGTGATATAGAACATCGTGAACTCGTTCATTTTGAATATTTGCATGAAGTAGATATTTAAAGATGTAAAAAAATAAAAAGAAAAAAACTGTTGCCATTTACGCTGGGCTCTAAAATGTGGCCTTTGCAGAAGCAGACTGTCTGCAGCAAACAATGCAAAGAGAAAACAGACCTTAAGTATCTCTGAGCACTCTTTATTTTCAACCTCTTCAGTGTTGTCCCACGATTCTGATCATGAGTGTGTTTGACCTTCAGCTCCGCCAGAGCCAGAGAGATCCTTCACAGCGTGAGGTCCCCATGCCCACAATCCCCCGCTGCGCGTGCTTGAATCAGGAGTAGAGGCAGTCGAGGGAAGACAGAGACACCAGGACGGACAAACCGCGGTAGTGCAGAGTGCAGAGCAAATGAAAAGCGAAGGAGATGGAGGAGAAACGATCAAAGCGCAGTCATCTCCAAGGTCCTCGTTTACGAAGACTGGGAAATATGAGACTGATGTGACCAATGAAGCGCCGCTTCAGCGACGGATGTTTTTTAAAAGTTTAGCCATTGCTGTCAGTGAGCCTGGATGTCACGTTTTTAGCCATCTTACAGCGAGATTCACAGAGCCTTCTTTGCATCTTTTGTCTGTTATAGAAAGTTTATCGTCCGTTTATCGGAAAGGACGGAAAACAACAAATGGTTTCAATTTAAAAAAGATCTCAGTACTTTGAATCCTATATCCTGTTTTGAAAAACATTTAGGTGCAATTACAGCTCCAAGTGTTTTGACGTTTATCTACGAGCTTTCAGCATCTGCAGACTAAAATTTTGTCCCTTTCTTTTCTTGGAGAACAGCTCAGTGAGATTTGATACAGAGATTTTTTTTTTTTTGGACATCTTCACGTTTTACCACAACTGAATTTTGAGCTCGAATATTCTAACCAATATGTTTCCAGTATTTCACTAATTTGGCTCTGATAACCTTGACCAGCATCCCAGTTCCTTAGTAAAGCCTTCCCACAGCATGACACCGCACACACTCTGTTCAAGTACAATTATCACTGATTAGATTACTGTCACTTTAACAGATTTTCCTACTTGAGCTTTGAATCTCTCCTGCTCCTCCAGAGTTACCCTGGGCTTCATTCTGTCTTGGTTACCGTTTGTTTCTGTTTTCAGATTATGGTTTAAAGCGTGCTCCGTTTGTTTTTTTCAAACTCTAGGACGCAGATCCGTCACATAAACGCACTCTAAGCTTCTCCCCAGCTTTATTGGAGACAAATCTGGGGGTTTTCTTGGCGTTGTTTACGAGCTAACGTTCACAAAGGAACCATTAAAGCTCACTTTACATGCTTAAACTGACATGCACCTTTCAAGAATGCAGTGCAGAGTTCACTTGTAAGGTTTGAGATAATTTTTTATTAGCAATCCTGACAAAAGTCTAGAAGATGATGATAA